TGCCCAGCGAGGACCCTTTCTTCTGTCCATGACACTGCCTGCATTGCCCATGAAAGGTCACGATGTAGTCATCGTGTTCCTCAGCGCAGTCCCCTGCCGGCAACACACGTGGTGCCAGGTCCGTGCAGCGAGCATCCTCGCCCACCACCCAGCCCTCCCCTCCCGTCTACTCACCTTCAGGCAGGGCGTCGAGGTGAGCCAGGCCCGCGTCGGCCAGGCAGCCCACGTGGAACTCGCGCTCGCACTGGTCACAGATCATGATGGTTCGCGGGCCGAAGCCGCCACGCTGGAAGTCGGGCTCGTGGCACAGCACGCAGCCCCCCGTCGCGCCATCCTCTGCCATCACGATGTGCCTACGAAGAGGAGGGGGGGAGGGATGGAGCGAGGGGATGAGGGCGAGGAGTGTGCGGACCTGTGAGGCAGGCGTGTGCGGGGTATTGGCCTGGCAGACCAGACCAATCGAGGGTCAAACTGCTGCCCTGGACTCGCCCTCGGCACGAGCCTGGGGCCCTCGCCCTGGTATGACAATGGGCACGCTCCACCATGCTGCCGGCCGCACCCCCTCAAGCGTGTGCTCGAACCACACGGTATACACCCCAACAGCACACCCCTGCGCATGCACCGACCCCGCTCACCCCTCGCCCGCGTCGTCCTCGGCCCCCGCGTCCTCCCCCCCCTCTTCCAGGTCCGGCAGGAGGAGGGCCAGCTGCTTGAGCGGGATGCCGTCGGCGGTGTAGATGTTCTCGTACGGCTGGCGCCGCTGCGCGCGGCCGGCGTGCGCCTCGAACTGGGAGCAGGACACGACGGCGCCGCAGCAGTCGCAGAGGATGCCGGAGGGCCCCATGGCAGAGACCACCGCGGTGCCGCGCAGGAGCACCTCCCCCTGCGCGGTCTGGTAGGACAGCGCGTCGCCCTGGCGCAGCGCGCCCTCGCCCCCCTCGAACAGCCGGCGGTGCTTGTTCTGGTTGCGCACGCCGCGCGCGCCGGCCACGCGGAAGTCGCGGGAGGGCGCCGCCATGCGCACGCGGCCGGGGACGTGGTCGGGCGCCGTCGGGCGCACGCCTCCGCCACGGCCCCCGGTGCCCTTGGGCGGCCGCCCGCGCCGGCCGCCGGAGGGCGTGCCCCGCGGCGCCGCGGCCTGCCCCGCGTCGTAGCGCTGCGGCGTGGCGCCTGCGGCCGCGCGCGGGCGGCGGCCGGAGCTGGAGGGCGTCGCGG